TATAGGATTTTTGGTAAAAACTATATATATATATATATATATATATATATATATTATTTTGTATTGGTGTTTTAAGATTTTGTGTCATATTAATCTGATTCAGTTGAGAAGAAAGTAAACATAATATATGATGTAAAAGGAAAAAGATTTGCAGACGTACACCTATTTTTAGTTAGAGAACATAATATATAATCTATTCTAACTAAAAAAACAAATGAGTGTGTATTGAAAATGCTTGTGGGAATAGGTAACTTCACTTTTATTTATTCATTTAGAGTAAGTTGACAAATTATTGATAAGAATGTCTCAAAATACAATAGTGAGAGTATTTTATTATGTATTTATACCATATAAGTGCATGTTAAGTATATCATAGTATTTGGACTGTAAGCATGAAAAAAAAAATCTATTATCTAAATAATAAAACAATAGGTTAGCAAAATTATAGCTTTATCTATTATTAATTTTTGGATATTTGTTCACATTTTAGGTTTATATGTAATTTTATATCAAAGATATTTTACATTTTTAAATGATTTTTTTGATGAAAGATTTGCTGATGAAAAGATCTTTCAATCACAAAAGATCTTCCGTCATTTGATGAATTATTTTCTGATAAAAGATTTGTTGTGTTTTTTTCTCTCACCTCAGATTTGCAAATTGTAGGGTTAGAATTAGAAAACAAAAACTCTATAACTATTCATTTTTCACCATCCCATCTCTCAACTCTTTTCTTTCTTCGTAACCCTTCTTTACTTTTTTCCAAATCGATCCATTCCTCCAAACTCTAAAGCCTTCCATTGAGTGATTCAAAGATTGAAGGTGAAGAGGTAGCATTTTTGCCAGATTTCTTTTGTATGTGATAGTTAAACATAAAGTAAGGAGTAATTCTTTTTCTTTTTTCCTTTTTTAAGAGCATTTTACATGATTTTTTGGGGGGAATCGAAAAGTTTCTATTAAGCATGGCTTGGTTGTGTTTCTCATTTGAAGAACACCAACGGGGGTTTTCTTAGATTTTTTTTTTCTTCGAATCTTTGATTCTATGTTTTTATTGTTTTGTTTTGTGAGTCTAGCATGAAATTAGATGAAAAACACATAGAAGAGGGGACATAGAAGAGGGGTTGAATATGTGTATGTAACAAAGGAATTTTAAAATTTTTTCGCAAACAGACTCTCTTTCGTCCACTAAAATAACATTAGTAAATGTTGAACAGAAATTATCCAGGATTGATTTAACAAAATCGTTTTGTGTCTGGGAGTTTTATCGTCTGCTAAAAAAAATACTACTTAAACGAAAACCGTTCTTTTAGGAAAGTATGGTTTTCGTTTGAAGATAGTTTTGATAGACGATCAGCATTAGACGAAGTTTTCAGTATATTAAATCACTAAAATAAAGTGCGTCTGAAACATTAAAACGTAAATTAAATTTTTATACTGGTTCACTTAAACTGAGCTACGTTTAGTCTCCTTCAAATGAAGGGTTCCACTAGATAATCAATGAAATACAAGTATTGTTTGTTCAGCCTCTTCAGGCTCATAGTGAGTATTATAGACCACCCAGGTCACGACCACTCTTGGTCCCAAGTATTCTCAATCACTTTTGGCTCGTCAGCTTTACTTGTAGACGCTAATATTCTTTACTCAGCCACTTCTATCGACCAACTCCTAGCCCGCTAACTTCACCATTAGCGCTAGTATTCTTTGATCAACCACTTCTGGCTCTCAATGAGTATTCTCGACCAACTCCTGGCTCGTTGACTTCACTCATCAACACTAGTATTCTTTAGTCAGTCACTTCTAGCTCGTTGTGAGTATTCTTTAATCAGCCACTTCTAGCTCGCTGTGAATATTCTTTAAATTGGTTCAGAATTTTTTTTTGGTTGAGTAGAATCCAATTCAAAAATAAAAGAAATTTGACCTTGATAGATTGATTAGGATAGCCAATTTACTCCTTTACAAATATGTCGATCCATGAATTGAACAAAACATTTAATTTTAGTACAAATGTTAAACAATTTCTAACATTTAGTTTCATTTAATATCATTTGCAGGTTCACATTTGGGATGAGAAAAGCATGCATGAAGATTACTTGGATAATTTAATTTATGATGGACTGATATAAAGAACTACTTTAATTTTATATTTTGAACAATTTAATTTATATCGGTCATTTGCTTTATTTAGGAGATTTTGTTTATCTATGACAATTCAGTTTAAGTTGTTGAGCTATATTTGTGTTCAATAATTTGGTTTTTATCAAACACTTGGAGTCTGAGCTAAATTTGTTTATAAATATTAATTTATGTTATTAATAAATATTTGTTTCAGAATCTTATATTAGTCTTTTATTTACATTGAATTTTTTAGGCGAAATTGTATATTTTTATATTTTAAAAATTAAAATATGCGCGGAATGTTGTTTGAATATGTTAAAAAGAAATGAGAAATGCAGCTAGACGCATAATGTCTACTTTCCTGTAGTTGGGAGCTTCACTGTGTGTTTGGGAGAGCGTCAAAACGTGATTTTTCACGTTTAACTGGAAAGAGAAAATAATAGCTTCTCCTTAAATTGTTACTTGGACGTGGAGAGACAAAGAAATTGAGTTTCAAAATTGAAACCAAACACACACTCAGTGTTGTTTTTTCACTAAATTTAACTTCTTGTCGCACTTGTAGATGTGATTTTAGGCATTAAAAATTTTAATGCTCGATCAAATTTTTCAATTTTAGTTACTTCAGAAAAAAAAAAAAAAAATACCAACCAACATAGAATAGATTACTTTTTTAGTTTTTCTTTTCTTTGTGTCATTGAAGTTAATAAAGCCCTTTAACAGTTAGAATTGAGAAAGATTCGAGTTATTTCATGTTTTCATAAATTTGGGGAATATTTTATTCAGAGTTGGGTAATCTAAAATTTGGCTTATAGTGTATTTGGATGAAAATTTTTATAAATTCAAGGAATTTTAAATTTTTAGTATTTGAATTATTTTGATTTTAATTTTTATCATTTTTAAAATATTTTATTTGGATAAGTTAATTCAAATTTCTTAAATTTTAAATTGTTGAGATACAAACAAGTTTCACGTCGATAAAATAAGACAAGAAATAACAACTTATATAGTACAAATATACTTCAGTGATAGAGAAGCCTTTTGGGTGATGACCAAAAGAAAAATCGTGAGGGCTTAGGTCCAAAGCGGACAATATCTCATCATCGTAGAGTATGATTGTGTAATAACCTTATGAAAATAACACTTATAAAATATCCCCTCAGATAAATACCATAAAATAACCCCCAACAAATTATTAGGTAGAATATGATAATTTGATTCCACCATGGTAAAATTGATTTTAAAAACATTCATATGTTGAGATTTTTAAAAATATATTTCAAGAAATTTTACAAATGCTTAAATTTCAAATTCTTTATAAATTTTCCATCTAAACAAAGTATTTCATCTCAAAAAATATAAAATTCTTCAAATAAATGAATTACTCTATTTAAATTCTCTACCCAAACACACAATTAGGATGTCATTGAACATAAAAGTTTGTAAGGTACAATTTGGTATTGGGGAGAAATTTCAGAATTGAGTTTGTTTTGCAATGATATTAGTATTGGTCAAATATTGAATTTAAGCGTATTAATGATTTTTTTTCCTCCTCTTTTATAATTTTTTATTTGCTTCAATACTGAAAATGCATGTGGATCGGATAATTAACATGGAATTGCTTTATAAGGAAGAAAAAAATCTTAAAAGATGATATTTTAATACCAGAAAGTATCAATGACTTAGAATTTAATAATATACAAAGACATATATAACAAATCATGTACCTATAAAAGTTTACATTCTTCTTATTAAAAATATTTTATTTATTAGCATTAAAACTTTAAACTTGAAGGATAATCTGTATTTTATACTTTGTCTAATGTATTTTCAAATACGTTTTTGAAAACATTTTTCTTATATAAATATTTTATTTATTAGCATTAAAATTCTAAACTTGAGGGATCCAAGATCATATTTTAATTTAACAATAAAAATAAAAAAAATAATATAAAAAAAATTAGTTTGTATATCTAATTTTATGAGTGATTAGTATTTATTTTATTAATAAAAATCTTATTTACATGTTTTTCTAATTTTGTTATTTTCAAATATCATGTTACTAAATGTCACATCACTTAAATATGAGTAAACTTTAAAACATAACAATTAGTAGTTGTCAATTAGACAGAAAAATCAAAATTTTATATTTTTAAAATTATAAGAACTAAATACTTTTATTTTAAAATAGAGTGACTAAAATTATAAACCAGTAAAAATAAAAAAAATAAAAGTACAATTTAGTCAAAGATTAATTTTGGTATTAAAAATTACAAATATTTATGCTCAAATTTAATACATTTAAACTCCATTAAGATATTTTTTAATTTATCTTATAAGTTCTCGAATTATAATAGGAGCACCTATTTATTATAATTTATGTTTTAAATTTTAAATAATTTATATTTATATCATTTTATGGATTTGATAAAACGATTAAACTCAGCAGTCAAGCCACCACTCCCACCAAAACATTGGTCGGTCACAGGCAGAGAGGCCCAGCCGCTAGCTCATCCTTTTTGTATATTAAATAAATAAAAATATAAATTATATTAAAATTTTAAATTTAAAGTTTTTTAATGATTTTTTTTAAGATTTTAATATTATCATTAAAAAAAATTTAAAAATGTTTTCTATTATTAGTTTATTTTATAAATATAATTTCACTTATACTAATAAAAAATTAATATATAAATGAAATTTAGACTAGATTATTTATATATTTTACATATTTTAAGTATATTTGTCTATTTAAATTATTTTTTTATAAAACCAAAATTTTTCTCTTTATTTTTTTTTTTTGGTTTGCTGTCTCATTCACCTATCCTTAGATGGGACCGATCAAGCTATCCGGTCCACTTTTAATTGATAAAGTCTTGGTCAATCATAGTACAAAATATGGCACATGTTGTTGGATATTAAAGGTGATATGCGTATGTAAAAAAAAAAAAATGAAAGAACTCTCTCGCTAAGATCTTGAAATCGAATCCAAAGAAAGTTGGTAATCTTTGTCATAATTCCCCATCTAGATTATACTCATTTTTGTTTCTGAACTCTATTTCACTTTAACTATGTTGATTTTTGGTTGACTAGAATGATGGATGCGATTGATTTTGAGGCGATGCTGAATGGGGCAGAGGCACCTGTAACTGCGGAGTGTTGCATCTACAGAGTGCCCTTTCCTATTCGCAAACACAAAGAAGATGCTTACACTCCAAATGTTGTTTCTATTGGCCCTTTTCACCACAATCTCCATCCTCACCTCCTTAACATGGAAAGACACAAACTCAGTTATTGTAAGGCCTTTCTTCAGCGAACCAACACAACTTGGGATTGTTGGATCTGCTACATAAAAGAAGAGGTGGAGCCCCATTTTCATCGTTTTTATTCAGACACCCTTGAATTCAGTAAAGAGGAACTGGTGAGGATCATATTTGTGGATTCCAGTTTTATACTTGAGCTCTTTTGTAGATACCATGCTCAAGAATGGTCAAGGGAGGACGTGTGTCTTTCAACACCTTGGTTGAAGTGTTATATAAGAGTAGATTTGTTGTTACTTGAGAACCAGCTTCCTTTTTCTATTCTTCAGGCTCTGTTTAATAAGTTCTTCACCACCAGGTCTAATTATAATATCCCTTCATTTCTTGAGCTTTCGTTTAAATATTTTGAAAATTTCAATAGATCCAACTTGAGTTTTGATAATATTAGCATAAAGCACTTTACCGATCTCGTAAGAACTTTTCACTTACAACATCCTCTTCAAATACGACCATCTAGGATTGAACAAGTGTTGATACAACAACTTCCTAGTCTGACTGAGTTGTGTGAAGCAGGAGTGAGAATTAAGGTTAAGAGTGAAAATAAGTGTTTACTAGACTTGACATTTTCAGGAGGGGTTCTCAGAATTCCAGAGTTGATAGTGGATGACTGGACTGAATTTTTGTTTAGAAATATGGTGGTTTTGGAACAGTGTCACTATCCATATGAATCCTACATTATTGACTATGTTGAGATTATGGAGTTCCTTATAAATACGAAGGAAGATGTGGATAAATTGATTCAAAAGAAAGTACTGATTAACTGGTTAGAAGATGTTGATTCTGTGGCTATCATGTTTAATGGTTTTGGCAAAAATGTTACGCTATCAGATAGAAATTCTTATTACAATCAAATCTTCAAAGAGTTGAATGATTTTTATGGAAACCCTTGTAATATTTTGAAGTCGACTCTGAGGCGTGATTATTGTAAAACTCCTTGGCAAGCTGCAGTTTCATTTGCTGGAATTATTCTCCTTGTTTTGGCTTTGGTTCAAACAGTTTTTTCTATCTTGCAAGTAATGCACCAATAGAATGCCTCCCCACCCAGAAAGATTCGGTAAAGTTGTTTTATTATTATTTTCAATTTCTACTGCATTTTCTTTCAATACTTTTCTTATTTTCAACTGTTATAATATTTTACCTTTTACTAAATTACTCTATCACAATTTTAGGTGTGTGCTGTTTAATTTGGTACATGGTGTTTAAATTAATACGTACATACTTTTTTTATTTTGAGTATTTAACGTTGAAGGATATAGAATATATATTTTAAAATAATTTTAATTATTTAAACAATAAATATTGTAAATTTTGAAATCGTCGTATTAAACTAATTTGAGTGTGTTTGAGTCATGTTAAGTTAAATAGGATAAAACTAAGTATAATTGTTTTACATGTTTTTACTTAATGAGTGTTTAAAATAATTTCACAATGAGTTAAATAGGTGAAAATATTTGAGTCAAAGTCACTTGTGATGTTATAAAAATAAGATATTATAGTTGATTTATTTAAGAGTGTTTAAAGTTTACTGTTTTCATTCAAATGAATAGATGTGAGAATCTCAACCAAACTAACTAATTAGTTTAGAATTTTTTTTTGGTTGAGTCAAATTCGACCCAAAATAAAAAAATTTGACGTTGATTAATTTTGGTGACCAATTTATCCTCAACAAATATATCAATCCATGAATTGAAAAAACATTTAATTTTAGTACAAAATACTAAACAATTTCTAACATTTATTTTTATTGAATATTATTTGCAGGTTGACATTTGAGTTGAGAAAAAAAGACATGAAGATTGGTCATTTGCTTTATTTAAGGGATTTCACAATTAAGTTTAAGGGGTCTTGAGCTGTATTTATGTTTAATAATTTAGATTTTACCAAACAAGGAGTCTTGAGCTGTATTTATGTTATTTATAAATATTTGTTGCAGATTCTTATATTAATTAGTCTTTTATTTACATTTACTTTTTTAAACTATATTGCATATGTTTATATTTTAAAAATAAAAATATGCGCTGAATGTTGTTTGAATATGTTTAAGAGAAATGAGAGATGCAGCTAGACACCTAATGCCTATTTTTCTGTAGTTTGGAGTTTTAATGTTGTTTTTCGTTATATTTAACTTCAAAGCAAAGTATTCTCGCGTGGCACTTGTGGATGTGATTTTACCCATTATGATTTTGGAGTAAATTAATTATTTTGGCTTTATTTATTTCGTCAATTTTTTATTTTGTAGATAACAAACTAGGTCTTAGTTGTTAGAAGAAAGAAATGTGATTAGAACAAGAGAGAGAACTTCACTAAAAAAACAGGAGTTAGTCAGTCTGATTTTTTTTTTAATGAAAATTAATCTTTTTTAGTTACTTTGAATAACATGATAAAAAAAAAATTACCAACCAACATTGAATGGATTACTTTTTTAATTTTTTTCTATTTATGTCATTGAAGCTAATAGAACCTTTTAGATAACAGTTAGAATTGAGAAAGATCCAGTTATTTTATGACTCCATAAATTTGGGGAATATTTTACTCAAAATTAGGTAATCTAAAATTTCTCTTTGGTTGTTGTTATCTTGTACATAAAAAGTTTTTGAGGTACAATTTGTATTGGGAGAAATTTCAGAATTGAGTGTCTTGCAAAGTTGCAATGATGGTAGTATTGGTCAATATTGAATTTAATCATATTATTGATATTTTTCTTCTCCTCTTTTATCATTTTTTCTATTTGCTTCAATACTGAAGAGGCAAGTGGATCAAATAGCTAACTTGGAATTGCTTTATAAGGGATAAGAATAGATTCTTAAAAAACGGTATTTTAATACGAAAAAGTATCAATGGCTTAGAATTTAATAATATAAAAAGACATATATAACAAACCATGTACCTGTAAAAGTTTACATTCGAGCCATCAATTTGAGTATTCTTTCCTTAACCTCTTCAGGCTTTACAAATATCAACTAGGTAGGTTTGGTTTGAGTGTTAAGGTTACTCTCATAGAGAGAATACATAAGAATATACACTCACCAAGGTATGCAACCTTAGTCTTTACAACGATTGAGTGTTTAGTCTACTCTCACAGAGAGGATACATAAATTGGTACACTCACTAAGGTTTTGTTCCTAAGATGCACATGCTTGGAACTCCTTAGTTTACAGAAATGAATATACTATGATACATTTGACTCTAAACGCTCTATCTCTGGTTTCGTTGCATAGTGGGCTTGATATCACTTGATTAAGAATACAAAGCCAAAGGCCAGCCAAAAAACCAACCTTTCAAGGTTTAAGATAGTGATATATATACTGTCTTGTAGAATCTGCCCGTTGCAAGTGTCCGTTGAAGCAGATATAGTCGTTCATGACTAGTTTGATTTTTAATTTAATGCTTGAGTTCTTGCATTAAATGTTGCTTCTTGTGGTAGACATTGCGTGTAGTCTTCTTTGCTTTGTTATTAGCTGTGTCTGAATTTAACAAAGACCTAAGAACTTTTTTGTCCTTTTCTGACACATGCATGCTTTTGCTGTTGCGTGCTTCTCTTCTTCTCTTTGATCACGTGTTTACGTTGAGAGCATTTGAGTGATTGCAAAGGATGCCTTGATTTGTTCTTTTAAGACTTGATTCTTTAATCTTGTGTGGCAGTCTTCGTCTGCATATGCCAGTCCTGTGCATCTGAGTTTAATGCTTTGACTTTTCTTTTGATCTAGTCAATATTGTGAGCACAAACTTTGTTTTTGTCTGAAGTGTCTTTCAATCTGTGTTATCTTTCGTTTTATGTGTTGTTGACTTTCTTCTGTTCTTTATCTCATGCTTCGTCTAATTCCTTATGTTGCACTGCAGGTTGTCCTTGACACACCTTCATTTGATATTGGACTCATAGTCGTCTGGTGCATATATTGTACTTTGTCTTATTCAATTCACTTGATTTGTCTGGTTTTCATGATGTGCCTTGCCTCAACTGCTCTTTTATTAGAGTTGACCATCTAGTTTCATCTGATGTTTAACACGTCTTTGTCTTGTTCCAGGTTTAGTTCTGTTTTGGCTTTTTTTCTGATACTTCAATGTCTCGACTTATAGTAGGACTCATCCAGTGTTTGTTGAATGTTCTTCCTTCTGTGATTAGTCCCAATCTTGATGCTCGACTGATTTGTCTAGTTCTCTTGTTTAGTTTGTCCAAGCTTCGTAGATCTTGCATTTAATGTCTTTGATCTTGCATTAAATATTTGCTTGGTGATTTGGGGTTACGTGAAGTCTTTTGTACCGTTTGTATGCTTCTATGTCTGACTTCAACCATAACCTAGGCATATTTGTACTTTTTTTTCATTGTAGCTGCAGATGCGTTGTCTTTTGCTGACTGGTAGGTGTACTTGCTCTGACACATGCAACTTTGACTTGTGGATAAGCGCTAGTCCATTTTTCTTTTCTTTCTTCTTCTATTTTAATGACTTCACTTGTTCTTCTAAGAGTTTGGATGCTAGGTAATTTTTTTTGTTGTGACTTCAGACGTAATCCAACATCTTTTAGTTTTCATTTGTGCATTTGAGTCTCTGTCTGGTCAGTTATGCAAGCTCTTGACTCCATCTGGGATACTTTAACTTAAATTTGTCCATCGTTTGTGGTTTCATTATTTTCCTTCTTATGTTATCTATGTTGTGAAAGAGGCATTGTATTTTGTGGATATCTTTGTCTGACATATTTCCTTCTTTTGATCAACCTTTATCCGGTGTTTAGCTCATTTCTTCTTGGTTCTGGTGTAGAAGGTGATACATGCATATTCTTTATTTTTCAGCTTGTCTGTACTTATGTCTTTATCTGAAACACTAACACATTTGTTAGAGATAACAATATGCATTATATTTGTCTCATTCAAAACCTTACATGAAATTGTTTCGACTTAACATAACATAACACAAACTCGAGTATTCTTAGATTCTACTACCATAATATAAACATGAGTTTTCTTAGATTCATCATTCTCTAACTATATTTAGCTTTATCATTATTGCTTTTGTTTGAAATAATAAAATCGTCCCAAGTCATAAAATTTTATTTTAAGCTGGTCTTTTTTTATTTAATCCATTGTTTTGTTGAACTAAAGATATTACTCCATGTTTGTTTGAAACATTAGTTTCAATTTTATTTTTGTTTGAAACAATATTTTTTATTTTACATCCATTGTTGTGTTTGACATTTGAACCAAAGATAAGTGAATATTTTTTATTAGACTTTATTCTAATGATTCTCTGTATTTTTGCTTATTACTAGAATTCAACGAAATGGCAAGAAAGTTTGATTTGATCAAAGAAATTGATAGTAAAAAAGAAACATGGAAACTTGCTGTTAGAATAATTGATCTGTGGTATGTCCAAAATCGTGGTAGAAGGAGTCTAGAAATGATTATAATGGACTCCAAGGTATTTTTCATGTTTTTAACAAATTTTACATGACATTAATGCCATGAACATAACAATTTGTATTTTTAAATCAACCTTGTAAGGAGACAAGATACAAGCAATTGTAAGAAAGGAAGAATTGGATTGTTGGGAGTCGAAGTTGAAAGAAGGAAATACTTATATAATGAACAAATTCAAGGTATTAATTTCAGGTATTTCTTTCACTGTACAATCTAGCATTTTAAATACTTAGTGTGATAAATAGTAGTTTCAACTTAATTGGCTATACTTTTTTGTTGATATTGTTGTAGGTGATGAAAAACAATACCTTAGCTATGATTCATCAGGTCTTCCAAAACATAAAATTAAATTGAAGATTGGGACACCTTTAATGCTTTTAAGGAATTTAGATCAATTTGAAGGATTGTGTAATGGTATTCGCATGATTGTTACAAGACTAGCTAATCATGTCATTGGAGCAAAGATAATGTCTGAAAATTCAAACGAAAGTGAGATTTATATACCACACATGTCTATATCTCCATCATAATCTTCATGGCCTTTTAAGTTGATTGATTAGGAGACAATTTCCAATCATTGTTTCCTATGCAATGACAATTAATAAGTCCCAAGGTTAATCATTAGTAAATGATGAATTTACTTACCTAGGTCAGGGTTTAGTCATGGACAATTATATGTTGCAATTTCTAGAGTTCAAAACAAACAGGGGCTGAAGATCTTGATTCATGACAAAGAAAATAAATCATTGATGTCTACCACTAATGTTGTTTTTAAAGAGGTCTTCTAGAACCTTTAAAAGTGTTGCAAAATCTTTAATAGGTAAGAAATCATATAGGTATAATTTTTCAATTGTAGTTGTTCTTTTAAAATTTTTACATACAGATACATTTTTGTTTTTCTAATATTTAAATACTCAAAATTTATGTTGCATGATAGAAGATAAGGTTCAATTGTAAAACTTAATTACACAAATTACAATTTGTGAATGCAGGAGCATTTGATGTCATATATACAAATATTGTTATGCGATACTTTTGCAGTTTTAATACTATGCATCTAGGCTTATACCAAACTAGATACAATGGAACCAAACTTCATCAAGCTCTTTTGTGAGTACCAAATTATAAGAGTTTATATAAGTTTTTAACCATATCAAACTTTATCACCTTAAACCTATAATTACTATTTTTTTTTAACTTTTGTGCAATTGCTACATTGATGGAGGATAGACAACAGTTTTCACATGTAGTTAATTGAAGAATATATGCATATTTCTTACATGCAGACACATACACTACTTTTATGACTCATTAGTTGTATTCTTCAATTAAATGCTTTTGATTACATTTATACCACTTTGGGACTCATTAGTTGTATTCCATAAAGACATTTCATGAAAATTTTTTATCTAAAATATTTAATATAAAATATTAAATATTTTATATCTTTTTTTATTTTGATATGTACTAGACTGTTAATTAAATTCTTTTATCTATGCTCATATTTTCATGATTATCCTTTTTTTTAACTAATTTAAAAAAAAATTATCAACTTTTAATTCTTACTACAAAAATATAATAATAAGAACCAACTCAACCCGCACACGCAAAGATAATTATGTAGTTTGGATTAAAAAAAAATAGTATTTAGACCTGGGAAGCGATCCTTCCTGTTCCAACTTCCAAGTTCATTTTCATGTATAAAGATCTGGTCATTAATTTTTTTAATATTTTTTTAAATCTGATATTGTTTTTAATACTATGCATCTAGGCTTATACCAAACTAGATACAATGGAACCAAACTTCATCAAGCTCTTTTGTGAGTACCAAATTATAAGAGTTTATATAAGTTTTTAACCATATCAAACTTTATCACCTTAAACCTATAATTACTATTTTTTTTAACTTTTGTGCAATTGCTACATTGATGGAGGATAGACAACAGTTTTCACATGTAGTTAATTGAAGAATATATGCATATTTCTTACATGCAGACACATACACTACTTTTATGACTCATTAGTTGTATTCTTCAATTAAATGCTTTTGATTACATTTATACCACTTTGAGATCATTAGTTGTATTCCATAAAGACATTTCATGAAAAATTGTTATCTAAAATATTTAATATAAAATATTAAATATTTTATATCTTTTTTTTATTTTGATATGTACTAGACTGTTAATTAAATTCTTTTATCTATGCTCATATTTTCATGATTATCCTTTTTTTTTAACTAATTTAAAAAAAAATATCAACTTTTAATTCTTACTACAAAAATATAATAATAAGAACCAACTCAACCCGCACACGCAAAGATAATTATGTAGTTTGGATTAAAAAAAATAGTATTTAGACCTGGGAAGCGATCCTTCCTGTTCCAACTTCCAAGTTCATTTTCATGTATAAAGATCTGGTCATTAATTTTTTTAATATTTTTTTAAATCTGATTTTATGATAAAAATACATTACATTAGTAAATCTAGTGAAGGGCTAGGATTTCATCTAATAATAATGTTAATGGAGATCCATTTTCACTTTGACCCGATAAATAGGTAAAAAAAAATTATTCATTGCAAGTAACGTTTGTTTTAGTACTTGTTGAGTTTGCGTTTAACTATCATTCTCATTTGCAAGTTAATATCTTATATAGAAATTTAATTTTTTAAAAATTAATTGAAATATTCATAACTATAAATACTATTGTAAAAGATGATGAAAGAAATTTCAATTTTACGATTTTGAAAAATAAAGTTATAGTAAAACACAATTAATTTTTGTAACATTCCATGCAAATTAGAATGAGAGAGATCTAGAAGTATTAAATACGTGAGACTATATAATTGAGGATGATTTAAAATAAATTAACTAGTACTACCCATTAATGGTTCTCATTTGTGAAAGGTTCTAATAAACAAGAAGTTGAGTGTAGTGTAATTGTTGAGATGTTGAATCTGAGGAGCATTACAAATTGTATAAAAGCAAGTCCTTTCTCCTAATACAATGTGGATTGGAGACAAATTAAATGTAAGCTAATAGATTTATAACATCCCAAACATACTGAAATGCGAGAGATCCAAAGGTTATGTAGGTGGGATACTATATAGTCAGAGTCACTTAAAAAAATTAGTACTACCTATACTAATAAGATGTATTATTTTTTAATAGCTTTGTAGCTCATCATAAGAACTTTATAGTTAAACATGTTTGACTTTAAGCAATTTAAGAATTAGTAACATATAGTGAAAAGTCTTGTGTTAGTTTGTAGAGACGGTTGTTGACCCTAAAAGTGTTTGAACATTGAAAAAGGAAACCCAGGGTTCCGCCCTTTTAGTAAAAGGTTTTGACTAACAAGAAGTTGAGTAAAGTGTCATCATGTGAAGCGTCATAAAGTACATAGTTGTGATGTTGAATTTGAGGAGTGTTAAAATTTACTTAGTAACAATGGAATATATTATATCATATCAAGTTGAAGTCCTTGTCTTTTGGCTTTGAGTTCCCTAATGTTTCAAACCATGAAAGGAAATGTTATTTTTTAAATGAAAAACCAACATATAAGTTAGTGAGGATTTCCATAAAGTAACAAGATGGAAAGGTTTTATACCAAGATGATGCCTATTTATAGGAATTGGATGGTATGTGTCTAATAAAGTTTTCTGAATTGTGTCTTAATTTATTTTTTTCTTATGATCCTTTTATTTTTCATTAAATCATGTATAAATGTTCCATAATTAATATATGATGAGATCATAGAGTAGTTCTCCAAATTATAGTGAGGATGAAACATTTTTAACAAGCCCTATTTTAATTGTAACTTACCTAGCCATAGTGACTCAAACTTAAATGAGGGATATAAAATATGAGATTATGGTTTGAGGTGGCATTAGACTCAACCTCAAAGTGAGTCCTAAACCATAATAAAAGGTCATAAGGATTAAGGCAATGATTAACGAGGATATCTAACCATACTAAAAGTGACTAACTCTCAAACCTACCTACTTTATTAATTCTCATGTAGTGTACAAACATCAACAAGGTGGTCAGGAGAGGAAATTCCACTAAAGATAATCAACTAAATTCCTTAATCGGTGGATATTTCATACTAATAACTAAATTATCCAAAAAATAAATATAATATACAAACATCAATTTGTTGACAAATATTTAGAAAAACTTTTAATACAAACATTAACAAAGTAATCAATATGTCAACAATAATAAAAAAAATTAATATATCAACTAAAGAAATTAACACTTATATATTATTATTTTTTAGAATAATCACTTTCTTGTTAATAATTTTTTAAAAGTTTATTTTATATAAAAAATAATATTTCTATTATTTGAGAAAATATTAAAATGATTTTTGAGGTTTATACTATATTACTCATTTATAAAAAAAAAGTATATTTATTATACTATAATTTATTTTAAAATGTATCACAAACGATGTTTTGATTAAATTTGTATTTTTAAATTTTACGATATAATTATAAATAATGTCCCGTTTTTTATTTTATTTTATTTGTAAAAAAATCCGTTTTCTTAAAAAAATAATTACTTAAAAAAACCATGTATTTGTTTTATTTTTTCAAATTAACCAAAAACTGAAAAGAATATATATATATATATATATATATATATATGTATATATATATATATATATACTTATAATTATATTTATAAATCAGCTACATTTTTTTAAAAAAACATTTATACGCTGTAAGTAAATTAACTTTTAAAATCTTCAAAAAATTAATTATTAGATTATTTTACATGAAAATTACTTTCCTTTTAATATGCAATAAATTAGTCGAATATTTAAATGTATATAAATATAATGTTAACTTGACCCCTGTAAAGTGTGAACAAAGTCATGATCGAATTATATTTAAGTCTAAAAAATAACTTGATTAAAACATTTGGTCTTGAATGTCAGTCCAGTCAAGTAATCACCAACACGAACTATTATTCTTTTTTTTAATGACGAGTGGCACAGAAAACCTTATGTATTTCTATTTTTGCCATTATCTTAAGTCTTTTATATAAAGTAAATAAATGAATATCCTCTTTCAATGTACTAGTTATTAATTTCTTTTTATACTTTTATTTGTGATAAAATTTATTAATGAGATACTTACTCAATCTTCATGTAAGTAAATAGATTTGTTGTCCATTAATAACACAACTACACAAGTCACTATTAATGATAAAAATATTTATCGAGTTAAGTATAATGTGTTTAAAAATAAAATAAAATATATAAAATAACTAATTAAAATTACTCAATCTAATTATTTATATTAATTAATATCAGTGAACTAATTATTTATCTTATTATAATGCTATAAGATAATGTGTTGTCGCCTTGCACGGTGTTAATTCCAACGTGTCTGCTTATGCTAATAATTTATGTTAGAAGGTGGTCTTTGTCACGCTTTTATTGCATCAAGAAAGTTGAAACGACGAGCGGTAAGGTGACCCACCGACTAAACGATACATACGCCGCGACGTGTCAGTCGTCATCATCCATTACATAAAAAGAAAAAAAAAATAAAATTCAGTCTTCTCACATATAAGGGAGAAAAATACGCAGCGCATTGTAATGAAATGAATTAAACGCTGGTTTTCTTTTCAACTTTGTAATTCGTGGAGGGAATACTTTTCTTTTTTCTTTACAGGGACCAACAAAACAAAAAACCCGAGAAAATAGAATTAATACACACATAGATACAGCATGCGCCCACCGGTTATTCTCAAAACTACCTCTCTCTTCGATTCTTCTTATTCTTGTTCTTCACCCAGCGATCGCAGACTCAACACTCTCGCGAGGCATTTCGTTTGCGCTCACAATCCAATGGCTTCTCACGACGATATCTCCGCTTCGCCAACCGCAGCTTCCGATTCCGTCTTCGCTCAACTCGTTCGTGCGCCTGAAGATCCTATCCTCGGGGTATATTCTTTTCTTCTCACAACACTGTTTATTCAAATTCACCGCTACTATATATATATATATATATTAAAT